TCGCTCGACTTTTCAGCCACCTTGCAACGATTCGGTTATCGCCGAGATCTATCTTCTCCCTCGCATTCGGCCCACCTTATACTACTTATACCGCGAGCTCCGACGATATATCGCCATCTGTGGCTCATTACCTTAAGCGGTACAAACAGAGTAGCGTTACCTCTCGCCTCGCTACGCCACGCCGCGCACCGCTTAGCGCCTTGGCCCTCTCGAACGCGCCCGATTTCGCTCGGCTACGATTCGCCTGTCGACCAATTTCACGAGGCATCGTCGCTCCGAATAGTCGTCGAAGCTGCAACACTCGCGAATCGGTCTCAACATTCCTGAAGAATTACCTCGTATCAATTTTAAACCTCGTCGGTATTCACCGGCGCGGATTAGCGTCGGATCGCTGACGCAAACGATGACTGCGAGCCGAGCGTGTTTCGCCCGCGGTAAACTCGGACAGAATTGAACACGAGTCGATGTATCCTCATATTTCAACGAACGTCACCCTCCTTCTATCGAGGAAACTTGAGACGTCTTTAGATTTATTCTTTTTACTCCTTCCCTCCGCGGGCATTGTTTTAGCGATGCTTCTTTAATCGTAACGCGTTAACCGGATTCCTCGATTTTTTCCAGATAGAAAATCACCGACGGTCCGACAACGAGAAAACTGCGGTTGCTGACCAAAGACATGGTATCTGGAAGGCGTTGGATGGTTTCGAAGAGACGATTGCTGCTGTGCACCGGCCGCCACCCACGCTGGCAGGCACAGGAACGAACAGGTAGGTAATACACAGTGTGTACAGTGGTACGACAATGGTCGCGTCGCTGTCACAATGACGAGAAGGGAGCCGGTATTGAAAGGCAAATGAGAGGCAGCGTTGCTCTTCCTCGGTCTTTTGGCTCGTCATCTCCTTTTCTGTTGCGCACCCACATCCGCTGCCTTTCAAGTAGCGCCCCAAAACACACCTTACGCAAATTAATGTCGCATGCTAACAGGACTCCCAACCGACTCGAATGACCGGGACAACGAAGCGCTTGAGGACAGTCGGCTCGTCATCGTCTTTAATAATGATTCATCGCCATACGGCGCGACTAATTGTTTACCGGTCGTTCTCAAGCAGCTTCTTCACCGTGAACGCTTCTCTTCTTCTGTCGTCGATAAGGCCACGCATCCATATGTATTTTCCCCGTGGCTTTCTCTTTTGTTTTCTTTCTGTTCGACTGCTATTTTACGGCTCGTTCCCTTGTTCGATCCGGTCCTCGGTTTCCTGTTTCGGAATCCACACGGTCCCCGTTATTTCCTGGTCCGTTTTACAATGCCTTCTAGCTTTCCGCTCGATTTAACCCGCGTAAAGACCAAGAAGCAAAGCTGCGCGTGCAAAGGATTTTCGCGCGTCGCGAGCATGCGTATCTTTGGTTGCCCTGGCTTCTTGAACCGCGTTCGGAATTTTTTATGTTCATTCATTGTGGTTTCTATCTTACCTTAATTATGGGTTTCGTATAATTTTTGACAAATTGTTTCGAGTCACCGTAACGTTGCATCGCGATCATATTCTTTTAGCGGTATCGTAAACTTCCGGAAGATCTCGATCCTCGCCGGCTAGCGATCTCGTTGCGCCATCTATCGACGATCGACGGAACTAACTTTAGCGGTAGGATACTCTTAATCGTCGTACAAGATTGTCATGTACGAGTCTTTCGAACGTAGTCAATTTTCCTTATTTGATTGACTGGTATTCAGGAGTATGTGATTTCGGATATTTTTTCCGCGTTTGGTTGCAAACCGTAATCAGATTTGTCGTAGCTTTTACCTTGTGCAGAATTCTGTACACTGTATGTACCTTCGCTCGATAAGGGTTAACCATCGTAGGTACATGACGATGGTTGTAAATGCATTCGTTTGTTCGGTTTGTCGCGATTTGATTTCACAGCGATTGGATGACGTAAGTAACAGCATCCAAAATCCAAATAAAGTAATCAAAGTATTTGTTCGCGTATCATTTCTAAATAATCGTTTTGGAAAACGAATCGTTCTCAAAGTCGAACGTTGGAGGAAGATCTGAAAAATGCAAAGTATACATCTAGATAACTTTTATTAACCAATATAATCGTATATCGTTACAAATTACGGCGGCACCGTAGCGTGCCGCCCCAACGGATTACAATGAAACGACGTGTTAACGTTATACAATCAAAATGGGAATCGATGAACGAGCGAATTTACGAGTTTTACGGTTCGTATCGTCGCTACTCGACTTCGAAAAACTGCTTACACGACAATATGTAAATTTGTAAAGAGTTTTATCCATTGTGTCCTGCATTCTGAACCCAGCGTCCTAAGTGTTTCTCGCTCTCGCGAGATCTCCGTTCTCCAGTGTTATCCTGTCGATTCGACGGAGCCGTGAAGTATGTCGGTTGTGCGCGCGTATTGTGTAATGTGTACAAACTGTAATTATGCTCGAAGACATCGAAAACTCACTACGTAATGTTTAAATGACGACGACGCGTCGCGGATTTGCCTTCTTTTCTCGACTTTTGTCCGTCGTTTTGCAACGCGACTCGGAATCGTACAGTTCACGGTAAAGCAATTGGACGAATTTCGATTTTCTTCCGATTTTCCCATGTAAAGCATTCGAGCATCGAACGTTCGCGCAAAATTCCCAGCAAATCCGCGACTCATTGGATAGGCTTACGGCTACTATCGAGATACTGATGTACATATACAAGAACCATGATCCCACTGTTCTCTAGAACACGGGCAGAGTATACAAAGACGTTGTTTGCCGAATAAAAACGAACACGTCGCTCGCGCGCCGTTCATCAGTTTCTCGGGCACGCATGCACACTCTCTCTCTCTCTCTCTCTCTCTCTCTCTCTCTCTCTCTCTCTCTCTCTCTCTCTCTCTCTCTCTCTCTCTCTCTCTCTCGCTCTCCCTCTCTCTCTCACACACACACACACGCACACACGGTAAACATGGAAGGGTAAACTGGCATCTTACACTTTCTCTCGCCCTATCACACGTTCGGTGATTGGCAGGGTATATTTGGTTCCCTCTTTGCATTTGCGCGTGCTTTGTCTCCTCCTCGCTTCGTCTCCTCTTCTTTTTCGTCCTTTGGCTGCTACCTTTTGCGTTTGACTTTTGTTGGTCCTGTGTGGCAGTGCCTCGTTAACTAAGGTTTTCTTTGAACGGATTTTTTCACGCGTCAGGCTCTCCTCGGTCGCGGAGCAGCGAAAAAGCTCAGCCCTCCGTATTTTATTTTTGATTTTGAGATCAACGAACTCGTCTCGCGGTTTTGGTGCTCGAAACGAGGGACTAGGAGGCAAAGGGGTGCGAACTATAGCTAGTCGACCTTGAACGAACAAAATTAGCGATCGTTTATTCGACGATGGAATCAACAAAGGGAATTTGCAACGGTTCGCGACTTTCCCTTGCACTTTCCGTTTCGAATTTTCGATAAGAAACACAATTTCAGGGAAACGGACGCACCCCTTTCGATCGTGACCTCCTCGAAGACAGTACTCGCAACGCAGTCGCTTTCATTTCATAGACAGGCTCTGCTGAACAATAATATTCTGTGCATCGTTATTTACATATTTGCACTCATCATCGTTTCTCTCACAGTTGCTCACATCAAAATTAATAAAAGATCTCCGTATTCGTATTTATATTTATATATATATATGTATATATATATATATATCTATCTATATATATATATATATCAATTTATTTATACATATATCGTGTTGCCATTTCTTTGTTTTCAATAATGTTGTTTCAGATTACACTTATGTATAGTTTACTTTTTATGTATATCAGTTTCGCAACTTCGTCCCTTGTTTTTTCCTGCTCCTGTTCACTGCCCCCAACTCTCACCTATACAGACGTCTAAGAATTAAAATATTTCGACTCCAAACGCTAGGTACGTATGTACGTTCGATTGGAAAAAACTTTCGCACGACATTCGTAGCGAAGTAAACGCGAAAGGTCGATCTATCGCTTTGTTTTTTTCTGTTTTTCGAATAGGCTTACACGCTAATCGATAATGGAATTAATAATTATCTTGAATGAATGGCTCGTGTGTCTGTGTGTGTGGGAGTGTGGGAGTGTGCGAGTGTGTGAATGTGTGCGTATGAGATTCACTACCTGTGTGCCGGCTATAATTTCAACCTCTTTTAATCTTCTTGTTTCGTCCATTTAAAACCGTTTACGATATTTTTCGTTTCTTATTCCTATAATCTGTTATTCTCGCGATAAAATCTACATCCGTGGTACATCATTGTCCCCTGGGTGTTTGGGGCTTTTTGAAATAAAAAATGGAAAAAAGGTACTCTACCTTCTATACACGATGATCCGCGTCTGTTCGTTACGCGACGATCATACCAACTACTACTTGTTCGTCTCTTCATCGACGTTTTACTTGTCTCTCCTGCCTCTATCCTCTCGTTTCCGTGACACTTTCGTTTGTACGCGAACATTCGTTATCCGCGGACGTCGAAAGAGTGTATCGATAAAAGTTTCTAAAAGTCAGAAACGATTTTGTACTTTGCAGCACGTGACGAGAAAGAACATCGGAATACGTATAGGATGTCCGTTGTGATGTTCAGCAAATTTCTTCCACGCGTTTATCGAATCATTCCGAGCAAAATATAATTACGAGATAAGCGACTCTTTTTGTTCGGAATAAGCTACCGAACGCGTGGCCTAAGTTTATCGAATACCTCTATCCGACATCCATTATCGTATGATACGGTTTGTCGGCGATTTTCCTCTCCGGTTCGGATTCGATTTTCGATTCGCCGATTCGCCGGTAACGAGCGGACAGGTTTCGTCTCTCATTCACCATTTCTCTTACTCGCGAGAACAAAACAGATCGTTCGCGAGACCAAAAAAGTACATCCTGTCGACTTGCTTGAACGCGCAGCGCAACGAAACTTGTACCCTGTTCCTGCATCGAGCCCGCCTCTTCTCGTTTTCTCTTTCCACTAAGAAAGAGCTTTTCACGGCGGAACCTATTCGTTCGCTAACGATGCGATTCCTTCGGAAGTCCGTTCATTCTTCGTTTATCCGAGAACGTTTGCAATCGACTTTGTCGTCTTCTCTCTTCTAGCTGCAAATCTTATGGATTCGGAACCGTTGTTCCAACCAGCGGTGAATGTCGTTTGGAATATCCTTGGTAGGAGAGACGTTCGAAAAGAGATGTTTCCACGCTTCGAAGAGCGTTACTTAGAGAATTATTTTCAACGATGTTCTCGATGCACGATGGGGCAAAGGTACATATATAATATATAAAAGTAGAAAATTTGGCGGCAGTATATAAAGATCGTAAAAGGTGAGTAAACGCGGTGAAAGGAAATGGGCCCTGTTTTTTGCGAATTGGTGTATCGCACGTATAATATCGCGTCGAATCTTTCGTCGTAGCGACGCATGAACGTTTGCTTCGTGTCACCTCGATTCGATGATTCTTGTTTCTCGGTGATTGTAAATCCGACCTGTTCCCTCCCAATTCGTGCTCTCTCGTCTCAATTACCGATCAGGGAAGCAACGTCCAAGCTGCTCTAAGCAAAGAGAACCGAGAACCAAACAGAAAGCGTGTAAAAAAAAAAAAAATGAAGAAGGACAAAACGACGCTTCGTGATTCTCTCTGGCTTCGCGTTTGTCATCGCGAATACCTTCGACTTGGTGGACGCAAGTTCGATACCTGCGTCTTCCCGATCTCTCCTCGACGAGAACCCATCGGATCAACCCGTCTTCGTTGTCGATCGTGTCGTTTGCAAACTCGATCGTGATCTCTCGAGTGTCCTGGTTCGGACGCTTCGTAAGAACGTGCAAACTGGCCCGGAATTCTCCTACGATCCTCGAACGATCTTCGGATCCTCCTCTTACCTGTTGGTATCCTCTATTCGGTGTCGCGTTCGACAGAGATTCGAGATCGATTCCAAGTCGATCGCGTAGCCGAGGAATGTTCGAGTCGTCGAGAGGAAACCTCGGTCCCGTCGTTCGATCTCTGTCGATTCTGTTCGCGACGATCAATCCGGACCATTGATCCCGACGAAAGGTTGGCCGATGTTGATCGTCTACTCGAGGCGCGCCTTGTAGCTGGTCTTCCATATCTCCGCGAACGTGACCGCGCTATGGAACCTATGAAAGATGCACAGCGGCAGAGTAACCCTCTGCACGATAGCCCAAGCGAGGAATCCGTAGAAATCGAGTTGCACCGGGTTCGCCATCACTTTCTGAGACTCGAACGTGTAGATCACCCACATGGTCAGGTTGCAGATCAGCAGGAAAGTGACCACCTGTCGACCTGGCTTGCTGCGATCGTGCTCCGGCAGGTGGACCCTCCTGCGGGACACGTCCGCGATGAACAGCATCTGAAGGATCACCTGTGCGACCGACAAGAGTCCGGTCAGCATCACCAGCAGGTTGGGTTCGTGGGTGAACGCCGCCAACGAGCCAGCGATCACGCTAAACACCGCGTAGACGAACAGTCCGAACCCAGACACGCGGAGCAAGATGTCGTTCAGGTCGCTCTGCTCTTCCGCCTTGAATTTCAAGCTCTGTACTCGGATGAAGCCGACGATTATGGCCACGATCGATAGCACCATCAGCACGCAATGGGACACGTCCGCCAGGTAAATAGCGACGAGACCGAAGTCTGGATGATGGATCAGCACGAAGAAGAGAATCAGGCATATCAGAGAGCCGACCAACAGCAGCAGGCCGAAGAACAGTCCTTTGCTCGCTCCTACACAGTCCACCCTTGTGTGACCTAGTTTTCGCGTTGAGAGCAGTTTTTAGTGATAATTTCCGATCAACGCGTCGAGTGCTACTCGAAGCTGCCGTACCGTTCGTTCGCAAACATATTCGATATCCTTGAGGGTTCGATTCGATAGGTTTGAGGGCGTGGTTCGCGTAAATGAAATCACGAGTGAAACTAGACAGGGATTCGAACCATCTACCGATACTGTACGATATCGCGACTAGCGAGGACTACGATTCAAAGTTTCACGGCAATTTAAATTAAAAAATGTAAACCTTTTGGATCTACGAGCACGTGCAATTCTGCGGATAACCGTTCGACGCGTAGACAATGCTGCAAATTTATAGACGCGAACGAATAATTACCTGCGTGGGCCAAAGCAACGGCTCTACGAGACAGCATGGCCTCGAGACGTCGTTCCAGATCGGCCTCCACCTGATGGGGCCAACGCGGGTGTCGCCCGATGTGTTTCCACATCACGTAAATCACCGCTGCCCCGATCAGGCTGTACTCGATGATGAACGGGAACAGATACGGTTCCGCGTCTTGAACGATGGTTCCCATGATGTTGACACGGCCGCACGAATTCGATGCGATCTCCTCGTCCGTCAAGGCTGCCGCGATGCCTCCAAAGTGCGGGCTGTTCCAGAAGTCGCTGCTGTTGGTGCGATTGCTCGCGTCGAGCAGTTGCTGCACCTGTGTCGCGACAAAAGTACGATTGTTTTAGAGAAACCAGGTTCTAGGTTCAAACGAAAACTGTGAATTTCGTACCTCCTCTTGGCTGTCCATCTGCGGAGCATCGAACTGTTCCAAGAAGAAAGACGAGAACATTTTCAAAGGTGTGGTGGTAGCGGCGGTAGTGGTAGAAGTGGTGGTAGTGGTGGTAGCGGTGGTAGTCGGAGTGGTCCGTTCCTCGGTGGTCGTTTTCGGAATCAACGAGGTTAAGAGAGTGGACAAAGTGGTTGCCGTTGTTGCGGTTAAATTGGGCAAGGGTGTCGAGGTGGTGGTGGTGGAGGTGGTGGTAGTCGTTGTAGACGGAGGGATCCAGTCGGTCGTAGTTGTCGTCGTCGGCGTCGTAACGGCCCTCGCGATCGCTCTCGATGTCGTTCTCATCAGTCGACCAAACGAGGCGGCGGTCGTGCTTGTAACTATCGAAGCAGGTGAAGTTGACGACCTCGTGGCGGTCAATGGAGCTTCGCGTAAAAGAGACAGATCCCGAGGCGCCGTTCCCAATATGGCTGCAGCGTTTCGCATAGAGTGTTGCTTGATGCTCTCTGGGATACGAGATACAGACGTTAAACAAATAAATACAAAAGAAAGTAACAACTAGCGCAAGTTCCTTTTCCTTGCGATAAACTAACCGAGTATGCCTGCTTCGAACTGTCCCATTTTCTGATGGTGCTTCGTGATCTCTTTGATGCTCTCCAATACGAGGGTGCGGATCCAGACGCAAAGATTAGTTGCGACAACGTGCATCAGGCCGAAACGCGCAATCACTTTGAAGCGGTGAATGTTTAGCTAGGAAACGAAACCAAATCGAACCAAACCTTTTAAAAATCTTTTCTCAAGATGATCGCTGCCTTGAACGCTAGCTAATCGAATTACCTACCCTTGAGTTCATGAAGATAAAGTACATTTGCATAAAGGTGAAGATCATCTGTAGAACCGGATTGACTCCTTGGAGTATCTGGTAACACGGTGAAGTCGGTGGTACCTCGAAGAAGGTACCGAACTCTAAACCGTTGTAGACCATGGTACCCAAGCCGAAAGCTGACGGAGAAATACGAAAGAAGGTTTGAAAAGAGAGAACATGGTTGCAACGATTAAGGACGAGTAAATAAATTACAGGGAGCAAAACGTACATGCTCGAAAAGGATAAAATGGAAAAACATATAATACAATAATTAACGATAAATTAAAAGGTACGTTTATATATCAACGTTAGGTTAAACGTGAATAATAAATCGGGACAAAGTCTCACCTATTGCCCCGATTCTCAAGAAGAAACTTCCATGGCTCTGATCGTTTTGCGAAGTTTTTCGCTTTCGCAAAGCTCGAGTGGCCACTCCAGCCTCGACATCGGCCGCATCCTGAATCAGTTTTTTCCTTTTCAACCTCGTCGTTAATTTCCGACAGTGCTCAAAGACCGTCGGGTCGTCAAATTACACGAGTCGGGACTAATTTCGTAATTACCGCTTCGACGTCGAAAAGCCGAGTAAACTTTAACAAGGACTAAACTGCCGAGTTTCGAACGACTTTTGATACGCCCTCGACGAGGACACGAGCTAACCCATTTGCCTCAGCGCCGAAAGCGTCTCTTTTAACATCGCATCATCGGCATCGGGCTCGATACTCGCTCGCACCGAAATACACATCGCGTAAAATGGAGTATCGTCGTGGCCACGAAAATCGTTCGCGAATACAAAATTAGTAACCGTCCGAGATATCTATAATTATTAAGGGGATCTTCTCGCTTTTGCGCCTCGAAAAGTAGATCGCTTCTGAGAATTTTGTTTAACGGGAAAAAGATAAATCGGATCATTTTATAATAATTACAGCGTCCGATGTATTTTGATCACGGTGTAAGAAAGGAGATTACAACGAACCTGGTACTCTTTCTTGGCCTTGGCGGCCTTCTGCTCTTTGTCCTTCTTGTCTTTCTTCTTGTTCTTGTCTTTGGGCTCTTTGGGCGGTTTTGGCGGCCGCGGAGGCGGCGGCGGCGAATCGCTTCCTCTGGCGCAGCAAGCGCTTTCTTGCAGTAGGAAGCAGAAGACGTACAGGAGGAACAAGATGCTAACCCCGTACAAATACGTGAAGAAACCCTCGTAGTAGTAGAGCGGCAACTTGTGCGTGACCACCTCGCTTATCACGTAAGCGATGCACACCACCACCAGCAGCTTCGCGTAGATGAAACTCATGATAATGAACAGCGACGTCCTGCAAGTCGAAAGAAAAAGAATATAAACCGACGCAAACGGCTCTCGCGAATTCGAATCTTTAAAGGGTAACATCGCTGTAATCCTTGTCGATAATTTTGATTACGCAGGGCCGCGAAGTCTTCGTTCCTAGCTTCCTCGCCGTTCTCGCAGTCTCGGCTGACCAATCATCTGGCCGTTTAAAATTTTTTGACAAGAATTCTAGTTTCTCACCGTGTCTTTCGAACTATTTGTACCCTACTGCCGTGTCTGAGCAGCCCCTCGACTCTGTTCGCGTTGTTCTCCATGATCGGCACAATTTCCACATCCATCGCTAGTGTTCGCGGAGACGAATTCCACGTGTTTACACTCGGAAACTATCGGTGACTCTACCGTTCCGTTCTCCGGTACTGGAATGTACCTATTCGAATCGTTTCAACATTTGCTCGTAGGCAATTCGTTTAATTCGTTCGCAGACACGAGAATAGATCGGACCGCGACGGCGTCGTGTCGGGATTATTCACGAGCGTCGACTGGCTGCCGCTGGACACAGTTCTCGATCCACCAGGATTCTATTTTTGATGTCGAACCGCGAGCAAGGGAACTCGTCGATTTTTCACAGTTTCCACCGCGGTGTTCTCTCGATCTCTCTTCTCGCTAATTTAAATCGGTGGTAGTCGCCGCGGAACACTGAACGAGAAACGTTGATTCGAATCCGTCGATGCCGCGTCGAGGAGACCGTCGGCGTAGCGACGCGATGGTCGTTAACGCTTCGACGTTTCTCGAACGAACTCTGCTCTTCCTGTTCGTCGGCTGTGCTTTTTCTCGTTAAAGGTTAGGTCTCGGAATCGATAATTTACGGTAGGCGAAGGGGAAGCAGAGCTCTGTGCGTTGGCCCGATCTCGTCTCGGCAATTAATCGCAAGAGAGAGACCGGATATATTTCTCTATCGATGGAACGGAACAAGACGAGGACGACGCCGACGAGCGTGCAACAACGAGGGAAACGGGAGGAAAAAATGTTCCGAAATCCGCTAGAGCGACGTTCGCGTTGCAATTGCAGCCGCGTTGCGACGTCTGGCACCGGGGATATCAGGGGCTCGGCGGCCGTACGGTGCATCTTCGTCGAGAAGGGCTTAACCACCCTTTGTCACGCTGGCATTTCAGGGGTTGGGGCGCAGACTTTATTGTTTTCCGCACGAGCCTGTACACTCTTGTCAGGTATTTTTTCTTCTTCGATAATTATCGGCCCTGGACAAAGGATATTTAGCGTGACGCTAGCAGAAATTCGATTTTTCTTCGCGTTGGTATCTTTTGTATCGTGACCGTTGATATTTCGACGACTTCCTATTGTCTCTCAGTTGTCTTTTTCATAACTTCTAGATCACCTTCGCCTACCGTAATCGATGCACTTTTGTGTACGTTTCTAGACGAAAGAAGAAATACGTTTATCGCGTCTCGGTACAGGCGCCAAAGGGCTTGAAAACGGAGAAATGAAATTTGCTCGCGTGCGAGTTGTTTTTCGCGACATACGGTCCATTGGCGCGCAAGACCGTGCCAGTACCGATTACCGAAAACAACAATTTCATTTCGCAGAAACTGGTTTTCATTTAGTTGCTAACCGCGTCCACCTCGGAGAACCAGTTCTTCGCGTTAATCGCGTCGTCGAATTAGAAAGCGCGAGCTTTCGCTATCCGCGTTATCGAGTCGATATGTCGATACTCGTACGTCTTTCGAATCATCGCAAAGTCTTTTTCAAACCGTTTCCCCATAAAATATGATTGCCATCGGTGTCGGGCGTAACGCGCGAGGCGGCTAGCGATACGCTGCATGAACAGCCCGAGGGACGAAAAGTTTCTGCAAGTTGTCGCAGCGATGGGAAAGAACCAAGCGGTGTCCCAGCATGGCCTTTTTTTTTCTCCACTTTTGAAGGAGAAAAGCGGCCAGAAGTGGAAACAGCGTCGGGTAGCACAGACTCCGAGCGAACCAGGTTGCTGGTCGATATCTCGAAGTACCTACTTCCAGCCGCTGGTCTTTCTCTCTGTACCTCGCCCTCTCGACTCACCCCCGCCTCATCTGTATTCTCCCGTCGAATTTCGCTCTCCCCGTCGCATCCAATCACGGCGTATTCTTCGCACGAGCCTAGAGATCGTTCTCGCGGTTTCCGGACGTATCTATTGTTTTCTCTTTAACTCTTGTGCTGCTTAATTTTCACGATCAAGATGAAACGTATTCGAAAAAGATCGGGAATAAATAATTACTTCTTGGTAATGCATCAGGTCCATGCATCGCGTTGCGTTGCACAGTTCGTTCGACGAGAATTCTCGGACAACGCTTTAACGTTATTTTCGGCAACGACGTTGTCACGGATCGTTTCTTAGCGTTTCGCGTTCCTCGTTTGACGAAGGTATGTGCAGTCGCGTTCACGAGGCCCGTAACACTGTCTTGTTTCAGCGTCTAGACTCTAGACCGACGTCGACGAAGCTTCGCCTTCGGTCCGTGTTAATGCAATTGCGACTGCGACTGTGTAATTTGAGAAGGTATTGCTTGGCCGTTCTGCGTGCACAGACCGCTCGCGCCGTATCACTGTCATACTTTGCCACTCGATCGATATTAATAAATTACAAAGCACGGGAAAACTAGTTGGCGTGTTACGGTGCTACCGATGCAGATATCTTTTTTTTCTTCAAAGTATTTATATTTTTAATAATCAATACGATATTTGAATCGAGTGAAATAATCGGCAAGATTTGTTCTAACGCGAGCATTCCACGACATCGTAATAACAAGACTTCGTTCGAAAGGAGGATCCTCGTTACGTTTCGCGCTTCTTTTATGCGCGTTCGTCAATTTCCATGAAAAAGGTGTCGTCGCGCCCTAGGGTTAACGCTCGACGGGCTCTCTCCTCGACGCTCGATATATCGAAGATAAACCACACCGTCCCTTCTCGACTCGAAATACGTTCACGCTCCACTTCCTCGATTCTTTCTCGAGAATGATTTCCATTCGTTCGTGGACACAGACTCGGTCGGTTAGTTATTTCTTTCAACGCGGGGTAGTAGTTGGTGTACGTGCGCGAGTGCATAACTCGGGGCCGCGTGTAATGCACAGTAGACGCAAGACGCGGTTCATAGCCAGCGCGTCGCAACTAACGAAGCGCGTCGCGAATAGAAACGCAGACGAGACGATTCCACCCCTCGCTTCCGTTCCCCGACAAACGTAAAAGATATCCCGTGAAAAAAAAGGCGTAACGGTCACGAGGACGATAAATGTCGTCTATTTATTTCTACCTCCCCATAATTACCGTTGATCGGTCGAAACCATAGTTTGCTATTTGTTTATTGATTCGCGGGATGTATCCGAAATTGACGACCTCTGTTGTTACCCTGTCGTACAAACCAAACGCAAATCGTTAGGCTTTCGTAAAGTTTTCCGCTGGAGTACGGATACGTAGAAACCAGACTCGAAGCTAAAAGTATTTCCGCGCGCATTCGAATTTCATTTTATACCCTCGATGTATCTTTTAATATCCTGCATTACGAAACAAGCGTTTTCATTCCCTTGGAGCTATTGAAACGCTTCTCGCGTCTCGTTTATCATAGCGGCGCGTAACGCGCGTCGTTTTCGAGCAGACGGTTCGATGTTCCTCGTCTCTCGCTTCTTTCCTCTGGCGGCGGGCGTATGCGTTGAAAAGCGTGACTGTGATAAATGCAACCTGCTATACGGAAAAGACGGCACTAGATGAACCGCGACTGGAAATCGTTACGCGCGTCTACTCGACCGGTTTCCGAGCGGAAGTCGCGCAACAGACGTCCGTTTTCAGATGCGTCAGATGTTCGAATCCGGATCGCTTTCCACCGTAAAAGACATCTCGACATCGCGCGGCGCTCGTTTCACTATTCAACGACGAAATGTCGAAATCCGCCAGCTATAGTCAGAGGTGGACGAAATTCTAATTTTGTACAACAAATAAAAGACTGACAACCTGTTATCCGCTACTCGTTGAATAAAAATTACAATTTCGATTATATCCAATTTACAATTACAAATTTAATTTTATTTTCTTATGTATCATTCGAATAAACGTGGTTCGTAGACACCGTGTATCCATCGTGAAAAAAGCGGTCGAAGAGGAATTCGCGGAACAACGACCCGGTTACCCCGCGATTAGTATTTACGTTTCTCTAATTACATCCAAAAACACCGCTGGCTCCCATTGTCCTCTAGTTTGTTCTCGGCAATACAAAAGCGGAAAGTCGGAACTTGAGTGCGCCCCTAAGCTGTAACCGGTTCGTTAGCGCGCAGATTACGTAGCAGTTCCGGTCAAGTGGAGTCTTGACCTACTCCCATTTCTCCGGGTGTACTCGCCGTCTCGCGTAACGTTTGATATTCGGGACCTTTGATTATCGATGCGCGAATCATATATCGAGAATACGAGAATACTAGAATGAAAGAAGAAAGGGTACCGTATCCTCGAGGTGCTAGGTTTACTACCGCTCTTACTTTTTTGCTGGGGTGGACCGCACGTTCTTCAGCTCCATCTCTTTATTGGCCGCATTGTTCTTCTCGGCGTTGTCCTGCACGTTCGGTGGTGAATTTTGCGGATTCAAAGGCCTGGTCACAGGAAGCGTCGCCGTGTTGTCCACCGCGGCAGCCTCGACCTCCACCGTGGCGACCTTGCAATCACCGCCACCCACCATCGCGGATTCCTTGTCTTCTCGCAACGGGCCCTAACGATCGGCAAAAGACACGACTGGGACTCGCACCCGAAAAACTAGCGCGCGATTATCGACGAGTGGCGCGACCGAACAGTCTCGATTACGCCACGACCGCCATTTTGGCGAACGTCTGAAACAACCTTCGACGTTCCAACGAAATTACGAGCGAGTTCGATCCTCCCTTTCGAAACTATTCTTCGCGTTGCGAGAACGGTTTTACCGTCGAGAAGAATTTCAAAGTAGTCGAGCAGACTCGAAGACACCGCTTTCGAAAATGAGGGCAGGAGTCTAAACTCTCTCCCGAATTGTTGCTCTCTGTTTATTCGATTCCGCGGATCACGCCTGCGCGTTCGTTCCTACGGGTTTTTTGTTCGCCGAGGAGCGCGCACGAAGCGCAGCTAATTCTGCGCTTTCGATGGAATTCGCGTTTCCGTCTACCTCGTCTGGTGAAGAATCTAAGGTTTGGAAGGAGCATAGGACTTGAACGGGTCACCGAGAACTCGTTATCGATACACTTGGATCGTTCTCCACCGAAACATTCGTTTCGAGTCTCCGAATGCTACCGATTCGCGCAAACAGCGCGATTATACGCAACGAAACACGCGGCGCAGTTTTCTGCTTGATGGAAAATTTGTCGAGAAAGGGACACCCCGGTCAGGTTTCAGGATTCGACTTTGCCCGAATCGAGCGTCGAGCATGCCATCAATGGAAGACGAAGGGTAAGCGCAAGATAGTCGATCCGAACGGAAGAACGAGACAAGAGTTAGCTACTGTTGTGGGAAAGGAGAATAGCGAGAGAAACGAAGCTGGGCCAACCCCAAAGGTTTTCTCTCTCTCTGTGATCCCGCGCACTTGGTCGAACGAGCTAATGGAAAATTCCGTGCACACGACCGAACCTGAGCCCTGGGAGGATCGAGCACTCTCGCTTCGGTGACTGATGACGACCACGACCACGACCACGATCACGACCACGACCACGACCACGACCACGACGGGCGATGGGCGACGCGCGGCTGCGATCACCAGCCAAGTGCGATGCACACCCCGACGAACGTCGTACCCAGTGTGCCAACGAACGGACCAACGAACCGACCAGTATACGCGACCAAGAAAGTGCTCACCTGCTAGCAGAGGCGGTTGCCCGAAGGTTCTCGCGGTGACTGCACTCAGGGTTCGGCGGAAAAGGGTGTGAAGCGTAGAAACGGAGAAGGGATAGAGGATGGAAGGTCGGTGAGAGAAAAGGGAAGTCTAGGGGACGAGAGGAGAGGGGACCAACGGAGACACACGGAGAGGAGACGGGAGCAGAGAAAGAGAGAGGGAGAGAACGCGTAGACCGGTGGAACCAGGAGAGGGACAGAGACACCGAAAGGGAGTCTACCTTACGGTGGCGACCGTAGGCGTCCACAACCGACGAGGGTTAATCCGCGAGGAATGGATCAGAGCGACGGACGGACGGACGGACAGGCAGAGGCCGAGTGAGACGGACTATGTTATCGGAGCACGACGAAATGGGGGTAGAATCACGATCGCCGCCCCCAGCATCCCGGAGACTGAGGCTGGCCGGGAGGTCTCTTCCCGGGCAGCGGCAGCTTCTTGCACAAGCGCATTGCGGTCCACGGTTTTCACTCTATATCGTCCCGACGTGCTCTCTTCAGCTGTCCCTTTCTCGCTTCCGGGCCCCCTTTTTCACCGCCGGGATCTTGCCTCTCCTTCTTACGATCCTTTCCGCGACGCGTCGCGTCTTTTTCACCCCTTTTCACGCGCGACGCTCTTCTTCGAGCTTTCCCCCAAGCCCCGCCTGTGGTCTCGCGCAACGGGGACGTGCAACGAGAATCCTCCACCATGATTCCTCTCGGCTGGTCTACCTCGGCCGGGATCTCCCTTTATCCCAACGGAATCTCGCGTCGTGTCATGAATTTTTTCTACTCGTACCCTCCGTGTCCCCGTTTTCGTTCCTTTTAATTTCCACCCGTAACCGCGGGGAACTCTCGATGACTCCTGTTCCTGTCCTGGCGTCGTTTTCTCGATTACTCGTACGCGGATTATCCAACCGCGACTCGCTCAATTTCATTCGCGAATCTATTTTCCCGATCGCGGCCACTGGGTTTCCGGATCAGTCCTCCTCTCTTCCATTTCGTTTACCAAACGTTTGCGTAAAAATTATTCGGTACGATTGTTAGTTTAAGCGAGGATTTTCATCTGTGAATATGCTGAAAATATTGTACAAAAACGAGAGGAGAGCAGCGGAAGTCGCGACGAAAGTTGTTCATCTCGCAAGAGACACTGTACTCTCCGCCGCTCTCGACCGCTCATTCAGCACTCCCCGATGATGAACGGCGAATAAATATTCAGGTAACGTCCTCTTTCCATTTATATCCTACGATCTCGGGTTATTTAAATATCCTTTCGTATCTATTTTCAGCGTCCCGGACATCGTGGATGCTCAAGACGCGGCATCGATGCATTCACGTGCCGCCTTTGTGCGAGGTCCTCGACGCAACTGGGGTGCAGTTACCGTCTACGGTTAGCTAGAATCGGTGAAGCACCCTTTCCCGGTAACTCGTTCCGCGTCGTCTCGCGGAACCTCCGAATCCGTCTTTTTTGTCTACGCGAATTTAATCGTGATAAACGCGATTCCTCGCGAGTGGTACCTGATCTATTCGCGAGGGAATCGCGGGTCCTACGACTACCTATCGCGTTTCCGTACCATTTCTCCGTCATCTTTCGGAACACCTCTTTTATCGGTGTCATCTATCCTCCAACACGGGATTCTTTTCGATTCCACGAAGGAGAGGCTCCGATTCTTCGAACGAGAGAGCGTTCTTCGGAAGTTCTAGACTCGGGCCGTCTAGCGCGCACATTCGGCCGTGTTCCCACGGGAGGATCCGGAACGACGGGTGGCAGGAAAGCTGGCTACGGGGTGGTCGTCGAGGGTCGTGGGAGGGGGTGCTCTGTCGTTCTGCGACCCACTGACCCGCTCGATAACGCTAGCACCGAGGTCGGTAACCTTACCCTACCACAAAATTCTCGAACGTACGGTGCTTTTCGAATCGACTGATTGGAATCGACCCTTGATTACGATCAGAATCGTAGATTATCTGTGTTCCCCAACCCCTCTCCTCGAAGATTACCGATGCTTTGCGTTCTCCGATCATCTCTCGTCCCCGTTACGAGGAATCTGCGCGTCCCATACGAGTAGAAGTTCCATTGTCTCCTCTGTTCTGTTTTCTATATTATATTACTCTCTCTCTCTCTCTCTCTCTCTCTAGCAGTCACGCGTAACGTTTAAATACGAGCAACCACTATGCAAGTTCCATAGATTTCAAGCTGAAGCAAGAGAATTAGCTGATTTTATTTCGTGGCAAAGAATTCCCCTCGAACATTCGTGAAAACTGCATTTACGAGTCGATTCCATGCCGCGTGTAGCGAATGGATGTCCAGGGTTGTTTTTCCGAGTCGAGGTCGTCGACCGTTTGGCAGCTCGATGATCGAGACACTTGGCAAGCGTCCACCGAATCTACCGCGTCGAGCTCAATTATAGTTTACCGCTCCAACCTTTTTTTCTCTATCCGAAAAATTTTTACTTTTCGTCTTCGCGTGTCGGGTGCGGTTACGCTAGCCAAAGAAACTGAGGGCTACGATAAATCTACGATTATTTCGGTAACCAGCTCCAATGATAGCGATGCAAAGTGTCACGCTATAGGGACACATTTTTTCCAAGTTTCGAAGGGAGGACGAAACACGGGTCACGGAAGATCGTTGAAGGAAGAATAACTAGCATCGATCGCGTTCCCGACGATGATTTGGATCGAGTCATCGATACGGCGCAATATCGGTGCTCCCAGCGTTTTTTTGCGTGTTGTAATATCGCGTTGCAAGGATTGCGACAAGCCAGACTCACGCACAACGAGTATTGATTTCGAGTTCTAGCTGGCAGTGCTGCCACGATTCCGCGCCTCCAGAACTAAACACTGGACGAGAGCTTGGGGAAAGATCAGTAAAAACAGGTACCTTGAATTTTTTGAGAAATTTCACTCGAAATGGACCTTTGAATAGTTCAGTTTCGAATATTCCAAGAACTCGTATCTCTAAAACACGTACGACGTTTAACTTTGAATTAATTCAACGCTATCGTTCAGCGTTAATTTGATTTAAATCGACGTCTCTTATTCCCGAC